TGCCTCCCATGTTCTGGGATTAAAGTGGGTACTTTTTGCTGCTGTTGTTATTTGGGTTTTTTTGTTTTGTTTTGATTTTGCTTTGCTGGAGATGCATACTCACATGCAAGCCAAGAGCCCAGCATTGAGCCCCCAGTCCCCTCACTGAGGAATTCTAGGCAGGAGCTCTGCACAGCACAGAAACACACACTCACACACACACATACACCAGACACTCACTCCCCCAGCCCCTCACTAACTGACAAAACTGACAAAAGAAACACCCACTCAAAATGGACTTCTCATTTTAAGGGCTATGGATTTTGTGAATATTAAAATCATAATATATTTTCACAAAGCTAAAATGCACAAACACACACACTTACACAATACAACTTTATGTATATAAATGATTATTTACCAAAAATTATCTATTCCCAGTCTTGATTTAACTGACTACTAAAAATATAACTATTCTTTAAGATTTTTAATATTTGATTGCTCTAATGCTTTTTATTTTGAAATTTTATTTCATGTATGTATGACATATGTAGCAAAGATACATATGTGCTAAATATATAATACATGTAATTTCTTTTTGTTTTCTATATCATATATATATGCATATATTACTGTAATGTGTATTTTATAGCACTACATTATAACTGGAAAAAGAAAATTATATATTATTACATTGTATACAATTACATAATATATAATATGCATTCTATTAGATACATAATATTGTTATAATATAATATATAACACATGTATATATTCAATATGTTAACAATATATGTACATATGTATATTATATATTATGTAATGGTATGTTATATGCATAATATATACATACATATATTGTTCTATTCTCTCTACAACTATTTTCTTTTTCCAGTTACTAAGATGAGAGTAGTTATTTCTTTTCCACACCAGAGGGGTTGAAAATACCCATACATCTTGACTGACTAATCTCAAACTGAATGTAATTTTTTTCACCTGTTTCTGCAGACTTAATATGGTAATAAAGTCTTAACAATGGGTAAGAAGTGTCAGAAGTGGTGTAAGGAACAGTATTCAACTAGAAACTCAAGCACATGGAATGTCAAGAATCCAACCTTCTTGCTTTATTTGCCAGATTCTCAATTGATGTAACATGTATTTATGATAACTAAATCTCCAGTAGCCTTAAGTGTCTCTGCAAGAGTCAGTACATTTAGAGGGTTTACTTCCTGACAGAAGCAAGCACTTTATGAGAAAGATGTTCGCAGGGTGCAGAATGGAACCCCTCATAGAAGAAGACACTGGGAAATAGGCATATTCTAACCCAGAATTGCAAATGAACAGCCCTGGTGTAATGTGTTTGAGATACACAAACAAACATATTTTTTAATTTTTAAAAATTAGTGCAAATTAAAAACTAAGGGTGTTCACTTAGTGTTTGAGATACAAAACCAAACATATTTTTTAATTTTTAAAAATTAGTTGCAAGTTAAAAGCTAAGTGTGTTCACTTAAAAATATCCAACCTTGCTGTTTCCTATCAAACATCAGAACACGTAATAGTTGGGCCAGAGGAAACATGACCTTTAGATGATACATTCTCTGCTACTTTTTCATCATTCACATCATTTAGTTGTGTTAGATCAGCCAACTTTATTCATTGTGATACTCTTTCCAATCATGTACAGTTTCCCAGGCTTTCGTGTTTATTGTTTTAGTTGAAGGTCTTATTTTCTATCAGAACCTAACTCGTCATTTTATCTACTGTTGAAGCACCTTAGATGACAACTTTGCAATGCTTTCATCTTTACATGTCTATTTCATTTTATCCTTTCAGTTTTACTGTGAATCCAGAGGTGACAGACCCAAGAGGAGAACTCACTGTTGCCATTTTCCTAAACCAAAAGAATTCTAAGAGTATTCTGAATACTTATCCTTGTACCCACAACTGCTGTACTTGTCCTCTCATCCATGAAGTTTCTTTTTGCCTCAGATGGAAATTATTACACACATCTACAAGTGACCAATATGCTAAGAACAAGTGAGCATGGGGTATCCTGACCCAATTGGTTAAATTCTCAATGCAATCCTATATCTTAGGGTCAGTAAACACCATAGAAGAGGGGTTGGGAAGATTGTAAGATCCAGAGGACCAGGAGGCCTTACATGAGATAGTGCCTGTAGACATGATAGGGAAGCTGCAGCAATGAAATCTCAACAATATGGGTTGCCGAAGGAAACATGATGGAAACCAGTTGGCATGCCAGTGAAGATGGGGGAATTTCAAGAGGTGTCTCCCCTAGATAAATGAAGAGCTATAAGCAACAGTTGCAGAGGGAGAAAGAGTCAGTGTTATCCAGAGATGAGCATCCTGAAAGGTAATCTAATCCCAAGTCAACCCTAAACACATATATATAAGAGCAACATTAAATGGAATTAACAGTGTGTGTGTGTGTGTGTGTGTGTGTGTGTGTGTGTGTGTGTGTGTGCGCGCGCGCATGTGATTATAATTACGGAACTCAAGGATGAATTGGGAAGGAAATTAGGCAGGACACTGCAGGAGTTTAAGGGAGAACAAAGATGAGTAGAAATGTTGAAAATATAGTACTTGCATACAAATTTTTAAAAAATTCATAAAAAGTATAATGATGTATTCTCAAACAATAGCATTTGAAATAACTATTCTTATTGACTAATCACAAACTCAATCTAATGTGTTTCCACATTTCATATCTCTCTCTCTCTCTCTCTCTGTGTGTGTGTGTGTGTGTGTGTGTGTATGTGTGTGTGTGTGTGTGTGTGTGTGCACTGGTATCCTAATTATCACCTACACTGGAAAACAATTACTTCTCCCTATCAACTATAGTTTATTCCATCAATTTTCATTTATTTGGGAAATGCCTATAGAGTACCCACTGTTATCAGAAATTATCCCAGCTAGTAAGGTAGCAGTAACAATCAACAAAGTTTAAAAATATTTAGGTAATTATTTATTCAGTATAATGTGATGCTATACAAATAACCACATGGCTCTTTTAGATGGAGATGTCATGAATAATTCTAAACATGGATCATTAAATAGAAGGCCATATAAATATTTTATTCTTTCATGCTAAGGGTATAACATATCAGCCCCCAAAGCAGGGAATTTTAACAGTAAAATATCATAGTATGAATGGGAGGTAGAGTTAAGGAAAAGGTGGATTAAAAATTTGGTCTCATAAATCAAGAATCAGCTCAAGTTAGTTCACTTAGTTGAAGCTAATCCTAGACAATAGAAGAGGGAAAGAACACTATCTGGATTTTTATTTTCTGCAAGCAAATCAATAATAGTATATACAAAGAGAACAAAGAGAAGAATATGGGGATTTGGTGTTTAGGTTTTACTCATTTCAAGAGGTTTATCAGACATACCTGCCTAATGCTATCAAGTCATATACATATACCAATCTGCTGTTCTTGGAAGCATTTGGGACTATAAATAGAGTTTTGAGAATAATCAATTTATAAAGACTTAAAGCCACAGGACAGAAGAAATATAATCAATGTAAGCTCTCCTGGATGCTATGTTATATTAAAGAAAAAGACATGTATAGATTTCTGGGCATCTACATTTAGAGTTAATAAAACAGAGCAGGAAATATAAGCAAAAGAAACTATGAAAGAACTGACAGGAGGGTCAGAAAAAAATACAAAAATCTAAAGTGGAAAATCTTCCAGAAAAGCCAAAGTATTAAAGAAAAGGACTCGGATAAGCAGTGTGTTTCAAGCTGACTTTTGAGGAATCTAAGGCAAGTGTAGCATTACACTAAACAACATTTGTTAATGACTATGATAAAAATGATGCCAGACCTTCCAGGGAACTGTAACAAAAGATACACTCAGGAGACCAAAGGCCTACAACAGAATCCATCTGTTATTAAAAATTGTGTGTGTGTGTGTGTGTGTGTGTGTGTGTGTGTGTGTGTGTCTGTCTGTCTGTCTCTCTCTCTGTCTGTCTGTCTGTCTGTCTGTCTGTCTGTCTGTCTGTCAGTCTTTGTCTGGTAATAAGAACAATATTCTTTCATGAAAATTTAATTTTAATTTGAAAGGAATCTCTGAATAAGAGCCTTGATCAGGGAGGAAGATAACAATATAAACTCTATATTTAGAGGGTTTCTCTTTTAGTATAAAATGTCTCTGACAGGTTCATTTTGAATATTTCATCCCCAACTCCTGGAATTTTGGGGGAAGGTCATGGAACCTTTAGTGTAAGGAGGCTTTCTGTAGTAAGTACATCACTGGAGGGCTGGTCGTGAGATTGTAGAGCCTACTTTCGGTTCTTGTTCTGCTTCATTGCTACACATATAATGTGTCCAATCATCGACATGCTCCTGCCACCATGCCACAACACCCCCCCCTTTATGGACTCTATATCTATGGAATACATGCTAAAGTATGACCCTTCTTCCTTATGTCACTTTGGTCAGGGATTTTGTGTAAGAAATAGGGCTTATTACATTGAGTAGTGCTGGACTGGCTAGGTCTGGGAGGGAGATGGCTTTTCAGAGAATGTTTCCATAAATCTGGCATTCAGAATTTGACTTGTAAATCCCTTTAGATTTCATGGAATCCTCACCCTTTTTTGAAGACCAGACTCAGGATAAATAATAGAAATTGATTTACTCAAACATGGCTATTGAGGTTTTTTAAGTAAATGGGGTGGCCAGTTATTTTATAATATGAAACTAAGTTCAAGAAAAAATCTTTTTCTCTACTCAATAATTTCAAAAAAATATTTCATACTCTAAGATTTTGACACAGTTCTAGGATATATAAAAGGCCCTAACAATCACTGGAATTTAATTTTGCAATCATTTTTGTTTAAATTAAAAACAAATATTGCTGCATAAGTTAGTTTCCATAATGATTAATCTTCACATTTAGTGAATTTGCACACAGTGGAATAAGTAGAAATCATTAGCATAGAGATAACATAACAGAAAGCCATATGAGTAAATAACTTAAGACAATACTTACGGCCAGGCAGGGTTTGTGTAGAAATCCAACTGGAGGCGTTTCCATACCCAGCATTGGTGCTGGCGGCCACTTGGAATCTATACCATCTAAATTTTTTTAACCCATACACTGTTTCTTCTGTTTGGTTGGATTCATAGAGGAATTGAATTTTTTGATGTTCAACACATCCTTCAGAGTCCCAGTCTCTGCATTTCTGAGCACGAAGTTGAGTTGTTATCTTGTAGTTTTGGAAGTATCCAAGGATACTATCAGGTTTTATCCATGTTAGTGTTGCACTAGTTGACTGAACATTAGAAAAAGCTATATTTTTCGGAACACTGGGAACTAAAAATTAAAGGGAAAAATGACAAACATAATAATGCCACCTGTGGAGGTCAGTCGCATTACCACAGCACTCAGGTCATTATCTTCACACTTAACAAGCAGAATTTCATGTTGATTCTTTGGGGGCCATTGTTTCAAAAGGGAAAGGGACAAACATTTTTGTTATTTCTTATTTCTAACTTGACTGTACAACCCACTCTGAAATGGTAATAGAAAAGCACTCTGGACTTGCATAGAAAAATTTACTGCTACAACAATAATCATATGCTTATATTATCCTCAGAATTTCCCTAGATATAGCCTGAATTTTTATTATTCCTTTCCTAAGGAAGATTTTTAAAATTTATTTAGGTGTCTAGAAAGCAATAAGCACATTCATTGTATTGGAAGCTTTGATTAAAAACTGTTTTATATAAACAGTTTTGAATGTAATGTAATGAAAAACATGTAATGAATTGAACTTCATTTATATTTTTTATAATGAAAACTGATACTTTCTGTAATATCACTCAACACTCTAGCATTACTGAACAGACTAAAGTAACAACATATTGTTACAACGGTGGCTCTTAGTAGGGGCCCTACAACATTTTAGTTTACTTACTGGAAACCATCTATCAGACAATGAGCCCACTGTTGAGGTGTCAGCATACACTAAAAGCTCATTTTTTAAAGGCAATTTAATGGGAAAGTAATAAAAGCATATTATAGCTAGAAAGGTGAACAACCAATAGGCTGAGTAGTATTGGATCTGTTCTCAACCATGAGTGCTCATGCATGCTTCCAATACCCTTTGCTAATCAACATAAAAAATAATGTTTTTGACTTTTGAAAATGGCATGATTCATGAAAATTATGCTAATATTCAGATTTAAAAGTAAAGTTAATAAATGTTTAGAAAACTTGCTCATTCCTAAATATGTCAAATTAGTAAAATATTTGATAAATATGTAGAGCTAATCCACTAGTGTAGATAATATTACCAACCCTTACTAGTATGGATAATATTAATAATACGAAAGCTACAGTAAACAAATCCAGACGCAGCTATTAATATTTAGGCATTTGCACTAGTCTGTCCTTGGGGTTCTGAGAGAATCCATCTCTGCTGCAGCCACTAAGAGCAATATTAACTATGTTCCCTTTTAAAAGGGTCCTACATACCTCCCGTATCTCTCTCTCCTCTCTCCCCTCCTCTCTCTTTGCTCTCTCTCCTCTCTTTCCTCTCTCTCCCCTCTGTCCTCTCCTCTACTCCCTTTCCCTCACCTATCCTATCTTCTCTCTCATCTCCTCTCTTTCCTCTTTCCTCATTCCCACTGCTCCTGTCCCCAGAGGATGGTCTCTCCCTCCTCTTTCCCCTTTTATGATCCTTTTCCCTTAATAAAAAAATCACCTCTGCTTGAGTTCTTTCTAGAGCCACTTTGGAAAATTACAACAGCTCTTTGCTCAGTGAAATTTATAATAAAGAAGGATATTTACAATAAAAACGCAAATAAGGTGGAGAGCAGAGAGATGGCTCCATGGCTAAAAGATCTTGCTGTTCCCAGGAAAGACCCTGGTTCTCTTTCCAGCACCCACCAGGTTGCTTACCACCTCCCTTACTCCAGTTCCTGGAGATCTGACGCCCTCGTCTCAGTATGCACAAGGGACACATGCAGTACACATACACACATGCACACAAAACATTCATACACATTTTAAAAACCTTAAAATATACAGATAGCATTATATATAGTATGTTGGAAGGTGATCACTGATGTAGAAAAATAGGCAAGGGGAAAATGAAAGAAGGCTTCATAGATAATGACATGCTAAATGAAAAAGATATTAAGTTCCTGATAAAGGAAACTGTTATAGAAGAGTGAAGAAGATATTGAAGCTATAGATGCACTGATGAGTAAACAGCAACATTAAAACAAAAAACCTCTATTCCTGTATTTGATGAAAACAGAGCCTCATAATAAACCACACAAGTCACCTCTCAGATCTAAGAACAGACCCTTGTCAGGAACCAACCAAGAAACAGGCCACTGGGACCTTCCAGGAACTGCATTCTGCCGTAACCAATGTGAACCCAGAAGAGGATTCTGAGTTCCATATGAAAAAGTGGAGAGTCAGACATAATGTGCCTGGATTTCTGGTTAGAGCATTCTAGATGAATAATCTACATTGCTATAAGCCACCCTGTTTGTTATACGGCAATGGAAATCTAGTATCATTTTCTCCTATAAAATGGTAAGTCACTGCTTCTGTAGCATCTGATACAAAACTCAGAATGAAGTAAAAGTCAAAATCTCAAACAGGTCTTTATTTTAAAATTAACCCAGAAATAATTCTATTAGTTTATAAAGATTATATTATTGTATTACCATACTTCTTCAAGTCTGCATTGAAAATGCACTCTAGAGAAGTTACTCTAATATTCTGTATAAAGGATCTAGAAAGTAGATGTGGAAAAGAATTGCCTCTGCAACCATATCAATTAAATATTAAATAATGATTATAAAATATGATAAGCTACAATATACATAAAATATCAGAGTACATACTGGTTAATGTCTACTGTAACCTTGGCTAGTCATTTAATAAATATTTTTGAATACACAATTAAATGAATTAAATGATATAGCATGGAGTTTTATTTAGATGGCTTGACAAGTTCTGCTGTTGAGAGATAATTTAGTAAGACAGCAACGAGATGTAGCATATCAGACGAACATCAACTTAGAGTAAATCCCAAAGAGAAAACAGAGCATGGTATGTTAGAAACATTGTGCACCAGGAGAAGGACAGGAAGAAAGGGAGTTGAACACTCAGTTGTAGGAGGAATCACATCCTATGACACATTCTAGACTGATTTGAGTATTTAGTTTTAGCCTAAGTGCAATGAAGAGATGACACTTTTTAAAAATCTTATTAAAATTGGCATTGCTCTTTGTTAAATTCATTGCCTGTTCCCCTTGGGAGCCAAGAACAATGGTCCAGACACTTTCCTTTTAAGTCTACCTCCAATCACAACTCCCATCTTTTTTCCTAGGATTTTTTAGCCACTATGGGTGGAGCCTTGCAAGGCCTAAATAACTGAATCCTTCAAGGGCAAGAAACTAAATTCTGAGACAACTGTGTTCTAGGGAGAGTACTCTGAAGTGTGTATGAAAACACACACTAAGGATCACACACTAGTCAATGACCTAGAAAAGGCAGAGGCCTTCTCATCTTACCAAGAGATGTAACTATTATCTGTAGCTGTAGGAGAAACATTTTCTTTCAACTTTCAAATATTAATAAATGAGACTTCAATAACAAAATCTGATGCAGAATAATTTTTTCAGTAAATTACTTTTTCACAGAATCTAGTATTCCCCAAATAAGTATTCCAGAGAAGGACATTTTAAATAGTCATACTTTTGCCTGACAAAGAAACAAAGCCCATACATAAGGTTTCCTTGCTGTGGGTTAGGAAATCATATGGTCATGTGTGGCATACTGTTCTGCTTCGTACTAGAGGACAGTCATATAGAATCAACACTGAAGAGTGTGCTGCTCAGCAAGTGTTTGTGTGAATAATGTACAACTTATTGAAACAGTCCTTTGATTTTGCTGTGGCATCAAATACAGCACACATTTTTCTATTCGATGTATCTAGAAACATGAACTAGAAATGATCAGACCCCAAATATTCACAGTTATGCATAGATAATCTATAACAGGGCAACTTCACAGGCCTCATACGTGACCAGCAGTAACCCTCATTTAGACCCAGTATCTTCACTTTTGATGAACTGTGTGTGGAACTGGTCCATTTCAAGCCTACCGCCTTATTGAATTACAGATACAAAGAGGATTACACTCCCTTTAGCATGGAGAATCAGATTTCCATTCTTTAAGAATGACTAAAATTCTCAAACTTTTTCTGCCCACAGATGGTCCTAATTTGAACACATCATTCCATGTTTCCTGGAGTAATCACACAGCTTGCTTAAATTTTCTAAACATGACTGAACTGTGATGAAGCGATCAACATTAATGGCCAAGGCATTTAGGAAATCACATTTTTATTCATAAATGATTTGTATCAGTATAAATATATTATCATAGTTGAATTGAAGAGACTGTAGAGCTATGTAAAGCTTGATACAGACTTTTAAAATATTCCTCTGCCTTCAGGGACTAAATTACAGTATCTACTTAGAAGATGAAAATACTTATAGTATTTAGATATCATGCTAATTTATGAGAGTCACAGTTTAGAAATTGCTGCCTCTTACTACAGGACGGCAATGGTAGTTTGATCTGCTCTCTCACAACCTGGTTAGGTATACTAATGTGCAAGACCAAGTTTTAAAACTTCTTTATTTGTAACTATACATTTTAGATACATTATGCATCTTCTTTGCATATATGTTTACACTATCTGATCTTTTTTGTTTATCAATTATTTACAAAAACTAAAAATATCACCATGATTTTTCAGTTTGTTAAGAAAATTTTAGTCTCTAGGACTTTTATGTGACCTCTTTTAAAAGAGAGTTACAGAAATATAAGTACACACAAATATCATTTTGCTGACACTAACATATATGTCTCAATATAAAAATCACAATTGTACATATCCAATTTCAGGGTTCCAAGTATAAAGCTGGCACTGATTTGAATTTAGTCAATACCATGCATTACACATTCATCTAGAGTTTTGGTTTTTCAACACAGTTTCTCTATTTAGCCCTGGCTGTCCTGGAACTCACTCTGTTGACCAGGCTAACCTCGAACTTAAAGATCCAGCTGCCTCTAACTTCCAAATGCTCGAATTAAAGATGTGCTCCACTACCTCCCAGCTTCATCTGGAGTTTCATAGGTTACAAGTCTAAATATATAGGTTCTTTTTCATAGATACATAAAATAGCTTATTTTATTGAAACCACTATAAAGGGTCTATGACGACAGGCAAAATTCATTAGAAGATATTCCAGAAGCTTAAATATAGATATCCATATATAAGTGGCAATGAAATGTTTTCCACAATCTGGTAATAAGCAAAAATAGAAGAAAATAGTTGTCATAAGGATGTAACAAGAAACTGGAGACCAAGACTATGGTGTCATTATTGAAAGGCAGTAGAAGACTGGGAGAGGAGTTTAGATTATGACCATAGGTAACAAAGTCCAACAGAAGTTAATTGGTAAAATATAAAGTTGAAGAAAATATAATACATAATATAGCTGGTATTAGTGAAAGGTAATATTTAAATATGCTTTTGTTTTTATTTTATGTGCATATTTGCCTGCACATATATGTATGTATATTTATCACATCCATGAAGTGCCTACAGAGGCCAGAGGAAGGCAACAGATCTCTTAGAATTGGAGATACAAGTGGTTGTGAGTTGTCATAAAGGTCTGGGAACTGAACCTGGGTCCTCTATGAAACTGTCAAGTGTTCTTATCACTGAGTCACTGTTAAAAGCCTGTGAAATGTAAATTTTGTGGAAACCAGTTACATATTGTGCATGTGAAATATAATGCAGATCATGGTGATAAAGAATAATTATAAATAGCACTAAGAGGAAATGCAAGGGAATGTGATGATATATTGTGTAGAGACAAAACTGAAACACAATGAATTAAATGAGCCCAGTATTAGGTTAGTGTTAGTACAGAACATAGATATTGCAGAATTAAGCCATGAATTTGACTCTGATATAAAAATAATTCAAAAAGAAAAATAAAGATCATAAATCTCCATAATCATAATGACAAAATAAATGAACAAAATGCAATAATCTCTAGCACAGAAATATAAAATATTTATATACATACATATATCATCTGCAGAATCATATAAAGATCATATAAAACTCATATAAATGTTTAATAAGCAATGTCTTTAACAAAAGTTTTATGGAGTAAAAAGTATATTTAATTGTCAGAAGGAATTCAGATTAGCCTATAATGCCTGGCCAACATTGGTACCTAGCAAATATTACTTTAACAATTAAGGGTATAAGTGGGAAAAGTAATACATGCAGAGCTAAATGAATGAATTTCAACAAGACGTGTGCCACAATACTAACCCTAACTGAATGATGATTTAACTTTTTTCTGTCTTCTAACTCTGTCTCCAAAGAAATAAATATTGATTAAAAGTTATATACACAAAAATGTCCTGGACCTAAACTGTAGGAAAATATTCATAGTAAAAAATTAAGAATTTTAAATCTTTAGGAATCCTATGAGAAGTAAGATGGGGAGGAAAAGAGAGAAAGATCAATAGAATCTCTAGTTATCAAAATATCTATGAACAGAATGTCTAATAATTTATTTAGATATACATAGACTGCTAAAATGTAAACACATATCCTGTGTACCTATCACTAAGCATTCATTGTGATATTCTACACAAATTATTTTGCGTGATTAGAATTATTGTCAGAATAATAAAGAGAGCTCAGATACATTTATTTGCAAAAATAATTTTCAAAAGATCCAAAACTAATAATAATACATTATAACCTCTACACTGGATAACTTTAGGGAACTATGATTTGATTATGCAGACAAAACATGCATACATATAAAATTAAATAAATAAATATTTTTAAATCAGTCATAAAAATATCTACTATAACACAAACACCTAAGGCTAGATGGTTTTATGAGGTAGTTCTATCAACAGCTTTGATTGAAAATAATAAAACTATTTGTGGAAACAATTGGAAATTACTTCCCATCTATTTTCATTAGGACATTACAAATACATACAAAACATACTACAATAAAAGAGGTAACAATAACTTGATCACAGATACAATTCCACACAACATATCAGCAAATCAAATCTAACTACATATTCTAGGATAACCTATCTGATCAAATACATCTCTCACAGAATGCAAATTTCAGTTAACAATCAAACCACAAGCTTTAATTATAAATCTAATACATCCACACCAAAGTAAACCTAAGACTACACTAACTTTGCCATCATTTGTTATGATTAATTTTCAGGCAACGTATACAAAGTGCCTTTGACAACAGGTCATAGGAAGCTCTTAGGGAGCAAGGCTTATGCATTTAGTCAGTAACAGCATAACATTATAAAGACACACTTTGTATTAAATCTGTAGTCCATACTTTAAAAATGTTAAACTTCTTCTACATAACAATATGTCACTAATGTACTTGTATATAGTTTTAAAATGATGGCAGGCTTGCTGGTTCATGCCTGTCATCACAGCCTTTTGAAGACAGGGTCAGGGTGATTGTTACAGTGACCCTGTCTCAGACAGAAAATCAAGCAAAGTTATAATATATATTAGAAAGAAATATATCTACAATAGGATTAATATAATTAGTAATGCACCAGAAAGCTAATTACTAATATTCATGCATCCTTTAATTGGCATAGATTTAATTACTTCAAGTAGACTTTTTATTACCTTTCTAATAGTGCAAGTTTTAAGATAGTAAATCTTCATAATAAGGTATCTAATCACAGAACTAATACAAGATTTGTTAGATGCTGTAGTAAACATATGGTGAAATTCAAGTTCCAATTATACTACACTAATATAGTAAGAAATGGGACTTTTATTCTATTTGAATTCTAAACGATAATATTTATTGTCTTTCAATAAAAATGAGTCTTCCTCAAAATTTGTATTTTTGTAAGCCAAAGAGCTTTAGGTATTTTAAATTTACCAAGCTGTGATTAATACTATTTGTATGACTTATATTATCAAATTATTTATATAGCACTGATTTTAAATTTAGTCTAAATTGATACATTCCTTTGAAATGTGCTTTTTCTAATACATTTATTGAACATTTCAGAAAATTTATACTACTCTTAAGTGTAGTCTTTATAGTTTACAATCTCATAAAGACAATAAGCACCTTCTTGAAGCTTTCAACTATTATATTTACTAGAAAGGAAACATGAATTTTATACCTACTCACAACTTACTTAACACTAGAAGTAAAAAAGAGCCAGGAAAAATGAGGGAGAAGGTTGATATGTAGAGGCTGTTCCAAAGAGAATCAGCTACACAGAGCAGGAATGGAAAATAAGGTAATAAGATATGCCCTGGTCTCTAAATAAGTCTTAAAAAACTGCCAGAAGAACAGCTGGCTTTAGCTGGAGCTTGGAGGAAGCCAAGAATGCCTGCCCGGAGTTCACTTAATGAAAGATATTACAGTAATGAGGAGGTCAAGGAGAATTACACATAGTAACCAAAATTCACTTTTTAAAAAAATATGTTTAAACGAACTTTTTAAATTTAGAATTTGATACCTAAGACTGTTTGAAAACTACCAAACATCACCTCTTTGGAACTTGTCCAAACTAAAAATATGTGACACAAGTCTAGTAATACTAAAACATCTCCCACAATGCCTCCTTTTTTATAGCTCTCAGCTTGCAGCATTTTGTTTTGTAGATCAAGCACAGATTTGGGGTTATAAGTTGTTCTCTTAAGTTTTCAATCCAAACTTGAGCAAAATTGTATTTACCCTCATCTGTGTAACAATTATTGTAGATTTTCAATGAGAAAATTCTCATGGTAGAATCAAAGTTTTCTATTTCACCTTGTGAAATAGTGGGGAAAGTTTTCACAAATACAAATAATGTTCTAAATTTCTAAGGCAGGGAAGATCACAAGGCTGGAGGGAATTCTGGGCTATCAGTAGCTCCGGTCAGAGTTAACCACAGAGAGCCAGTTTACACTCAACCTCCTTCCCATTGATTCATTTCTATTGCTTGAAAAGCAAAATTGTCAAAATGATTCTTAAGACCCACTGAAGGTCAAGCACTGCATCACTGAAACTTTTAAAACACAAAAAATATATGTGTTTTTTCACTCTTCTCCATGTATGTCCATCAAGTTGTGTTTACTGGAATGGGCATAAAGAGCAACACCAATGAGTTTAAAAGAACACACTTGATCAGACTTGGAAGACAGGAAATTTGTACTTTTCCATTTCCTCCACTGCCTACAATTACAAATAGTGAAGGAGAACAGAGTTAACAAAAGGACACATGGGGCATCTAAGAAGAAAAGGGGCTGGGACATCAAGAAATTGTGGAGCCTAAAGGACATTTTTTGAAATTAAATGCCATAATGATATCTTATACCTTATATGCCTCTTTAAAACCTCAATAAAAACATGCTGTCAAGGAAGAGTGCTCTTGTAATCATAGCACTGAGAGATGGAGAAAGGAGGACACAACAGACAGCTAACCTGGCCTACCTGACAAGTTCCATGATATTAAGTAGTGCTAGCTCACAAAACAAAGTGGATATCACTTACTGGGTGACACCCGAGATTGCTCTTTGCTGACTTACACACATGCATGTATGTTTATGTACACACACACACATACACACACACAGAGAGAGAGAGAAAGAGAGAGAGAGAGAGAGAGAGAGAGAGAGAGAGAGAGAGAGAGAGGGAGAGAGAGAGAGAGAGATCCCTGAAAAAGAATGTATGTATGTCAAGGTCAAACACCAGGCAGGAGGAGAGTGAGCCAAATTTGATTTCTTCTTCTGACAGGAATAAGAACAGAGTCTGTGACTCAGAGCTAGCTGTACACCGTGACTAATTTTCCACCATAAATTAGAAGCTTGCAACAGCTATAAAACTGCTTCCAGCTGAACAATGAGCTCCTAGCTCTCACTAGCATCTCATCAACAAGCAATTCATGTGAATCCTGATAAAAAAAATTAGATACCTAACGAGGATTGTAATCATAAATATAATTATACACTAGACTCAACACCTAATTTTAAAGATGAAAAATACTTTTGAAGCAGAAATTAATATTTCATCTGAATGATTCTTCTTAATTACAAGAAATTTTACATTTGACTGAGAGAAAACAGTTCTACTTTTGCCTGCTGGGTATATGGAAATCATATACAGAAAAGGAGAAACGGCCCTGATAAAAATAGCTACCAGAATAATGCAAATCATTTCATCCTTCTACAAACTTGTAAGTACCTGAATGACAAATTCCGTCTGCCTTGGAACTTTTTGCCAGGAATGTTGAGTAAACAAAAACAAAACCACATGCTCTTTTTAAGCACAGAGTAATGAGTAGAATTCGTGTATTATTACCCACATCGTCTCATTTAAATGAAAAATGGCATGCTAATATATGCAATTCTGACTCCAGAAATATGGAGTGAGCCAGAGGTCAGAAGAACAAACTGTGTGGGTGCACAATAAGCTCCCCAATATGCCAATAACTAACTAAAATCTTTATTTACTATCCCTCCACTACCCTTCATGGTAGACTTCCAAACCTGAACTAAGGTCCATTCAAACTCTTAAAAGAATAGTTGTGACAAAATTCCAGACTCTGAAGTCAGATGACTATATATCTTATGTACACTGAACTTTGGCTGTGTCTTGGCTCTATTAACCGAATGTCTGCTTTACTCTTTTGACTCCCATAATCCTGAACACAGGTATACTTAATAAACAAGTACTGTGTCTATTTTTTGGAAGTCTGACCTTCCCATTTATTTCAAAATTATTATCCATTCTTATTTGCCAGTTTTCCAGTCTAGATTGCTTATGCCTTTTTTTAAACCTGGTGCTCCCTGATTAAGACCACCTATATGGGTTTTAAAGTATTTCCTTCTATCAATGATCTTCTTTGCTCCCACTGAGAAATTGTCACTCCTTGTTGGACCTGTGCGAAGCAGTTCATCTGTCCTCAGACATACCTGTATACTCTAGTCTAGCACTCCAACAAGTTTATAGTGTTGGGAATGCTTCAGTGTACCAAGTCAGATACTTTGCCACTTGAGACTGTGATGCAACAAGCTTGGTCTGACATCCAGGAGTCTGGACCACCAAAGCTTGGGAGGTCATTGAAAGGTTTACTACACATTCCACATTTGAGCTGAACTTTCCTAGTCTGTAGTAGGTGCTTAGCCTCTGTTTCCTAGGATGAATAGATGAAGTCTATTGTGCTGAATGAATAAAGTTAGGCTAGATACATCCACTATGTAAGGAGAGATATATACATACTACTAAAGAAGAGACAAATTCTAACTAATGACAAGTTCTGGGACAGTTTCTGAAGTATGAGAAAAGATGAGGCAGTTGAAAAAGTGGGCTATCTGTGAAGATACATTATTTATCAAATTTAATAAGGCCACTGAAGATCAAAATGCAAAGCTAGTCACAGCCATAGAGCCAGGCAGTGGTGATATACACCTTTATTCCCAGCAGCCACACTAGCTAGCCATAGAGGCCAGGTGATGTTAGCACACACCTTTAATCCCAGGACTCAGAAGACAGAGGCAGATGGATCTCTGTGAGTCCAACACCAGCCTGGCCAACATAAGAGTGAATCAGTCTAAAGAGTAATAGAGCTCATGCCTTTAATCCCAGCACTAGACAGGTGGAAACTGGAGTGATATGGCTGGGCAGAGAAAGGTGGGAGGAGATAGGAACTCACAACATTTGCCTCTGAGAATTCGTGGAGAACAGGATTGCCATTTCAGCTTGGTAGAGGTAAAAACCTACTGGCTTGGCTTCTTTGCTTTTCTGATTTTCAGCTTGAACCCCAATATCTGTCTCTGGATTTTTATTATTCATGTTACAGCCACCCACACACTGTACCTTTCAGTATCACCTCTATGTTTCAAATAGCCATGTCTGTTCTTTAGTTATGCCAGAACCAAGTCAACTTAAGTCTTTATAAGTGGAAAGACAAGACTTAAGAGCAGGCTTCATAACTGGGTGCTAAGACCCCTGCACAGGCATCACTGGAAACAGTAAAAACCCAGCACAAAGAACTCTTTATTTTGCTATTTTCTTTTTTTCTTCTTTTTTTTTTTTTTGAACCTGACTGTTACTATTGTATGCTAGACTCTTGGCTTTCAATGATCCTCAGTCATATCACTCCTGGATGTAAATATGTTCCTCCATAGGAAAACTGCTAAAGTTTCAACCCAAGATATAGCAAAGATGACAAAGCAGCTGCAACCATTATAGAAGGTGAATTGATAGCGGAACCATTTCTGCTTTTTCCAACAATATTCGGCAGCTTGAATTTTGAGTAAAGAGTGAAATAGTTTCAGAATTAAAGATCTTCCTGGGAGAAAGATCATGACACTGTTTGAAACTTAAGAAGCAAAACATACTATTGCAATGCAGCCTTTCTAACCTACAAAGGAAGGATACTGTGAGCACGGAGGAGCGTTGCATTAGAAAGCTGAGTGGGAACTGAATGGATGCAGACAGTGAAGAGGAAGGCAGGCCTTTCAATGTTCTGAGGTTTGTAATCTCAAGGACAGAAATGTGAAGTTAAATTGGGTGATGTGGCTTTCGGTGGGGGCTGGGGCTCATAAGACAGTCCTGTGATGAGGAAGTGCATGTGACATGGTGAAAGATTATGACCATGCTACGGCTGTCACTAAGGCTGATGGCCAGAGAAGTGGTGTTATCAGAAATGAGTCCAGGTTTTCTTTAGGTAGCCAGTAGAATACAAGAGAAGGTAGAGAAAGAAGGTAACAACACAGAGAAGCACTGTTGAGAAGTTGTGACAGTTTCTTCTTACAGACTAGACCTGAGTGACATCTTTCTCTTATTCAGATGACCTGAAAGACAGATCTGAGTAGAAAAGGAAATGGATGCCCAGGACTCTGATGCTGGAAGTCTTAAGAGTCCACAGAAGTACCAAGAATGCCAAGAAAACAATTATTAAGAAGATATATTCTGGAAAGTTTTCATATTAATTGCTTCATTTAAGTAATGATAAAACACACTCAATATGTTAGGGAGTTTTATTTTCATATAATTGTCCTTGCTTCATCCTTTCAACCTCCCATCAGGGTAAAAAAGGTTAAATATGTACTAAGTGCTCACAGATCATGTGGTTAGGCTAAGGAAGCATATGCTTTTATAGCTTTATATAAATACGCTATAGTGTCTGTGGAGGTGGCTGAGTGTGTAAATCACCTGACATTCAAGTGTTAGGAGCAAAGATTTGATCCCTGGAACCTATATAACTGCTGGCTGGGCATGGCAGCCTTCCTGACATTCCAGAGCACGGCATAAGGAGATATGGGATCCCTAGAGCAAGCTGGTTAGCTACAGTAGCCATATCAATGAACTCCGCATTCAACTGAGAGACCCTGACTCAATATAGAAGGTGGACATGGATCAAAAAGATGCTCATATAAGCATACACAAGTGTGCATGTATGTGTGTGACCTCATACACACATCCCCAGACACATACAAGCACACATACATACACATAGATAGGTAGACCTACTACATAAGTATACTAATAAAAATAATTGTCATGCAAATACCACTGACAAATGTATGCAATTATTTATGAATAGCTAAATATTTCAGATTAGTTAACTCTTTCATACTAGTTACCATTAGATCTGTCAGGCTAGCTATCAGGCTAGCCCCATACCAACCATTCAAGTTAGTTATCAATTTAACCTACTTACCTGCTTAAGCTTAGAGACCTGTTTCAGGCTATTTGTTCATTTCATGTTTCAGGTAAGCTACTTGTTTAAAACTAGTAAGCTGTTTCATACTACTAATAGTTACCTGTTTTATGTTATTTGCTATTTCATACTAGTTAGTCATCTACTCATGATCAGTTACCCATTTCATACTATTTCATGCTATTAATACCTACTTCAGTTTAGTTAATTGTTTTACACCAGTTACCTGGTTCAGGTCAGTTACGTGCTCCATATTAGTTACCTGTCTCGGGGAATGTGCTGACATTGCATGTGCTTTCCTTGCCTTCACCAGCTGAGGTTGATGCTCTAACTTCAAAGATGTATGTTGTGTTGGCAAGAAGTTTTGTGAAAGTATACATGTGGTCTTGGGGAGAAACTTTCGTAGAATCCCTTTCAACTGTTATCATATAGTGGATAATCATTCCATTTGTTTTTCTGGGTGGACCCCACATCACTAATACTGACTGCCAGTTATGTGCCACACACTCTATATTCTGTACAGCATCTGGAACTTAAGAGAAAAACATTTGCTCAAAGTTAAAATTTATACACACATAGTAAATTATTGAACCATGCAACCAGTAGCTAAGATGAGATTTCACAAAGAAAAACTAAAAATTTAATATGTCAATTTTTCTGATGTGTGTGTGACAAGTTCTTAGCATAAATAGCCAATGGACCTTTTCTCTCTTATCTTGCTAATGCTCACTATATTGACCCTTTAATGGAACATTTTTCTAGACCCAGGCAGCAAACACATTCTCATAGTGTAAGAAATGAGTTGGCCTTGAGTCCAGGCAGTCACAGATGCCAGCTTTCTTAATCAGGATGGTGCCACATTCTCTATACTTATTACTGAACATTTTAAAAAACACAAAACTGTCTACTATTGCTGTTCCAGACCCAACAGCACTGGAAGTCCATAAGAAAAGCAGACATTGGGGTGGGGTGTTCTTTGGAAGAACAGGGACTGTTTTAAAAGCTACTGGATGTATTGTTTAAAGAGTGATGATAGGTTAGAGATACTAGCTACTTTAAGTGGAAATATCCAATTATGTCCCTTAGTTTTAGTATTGATAATATAACTTCATTGTTATAGTAAAAAGAGGATAGTGAAAGAAAATCACTATGTGGTTAACTCTCAGATTACAAACTGTTCATACCAGAAAAAATAAGGTTGCTATTAGATGAATGTGAATTAAAGAAAGTTCATGAAATCTATGACTTCTCAACAATTGTTCTCCGGTCCTAAATGTGTCTCTTCTAAACCTTTCTTCTGTAGGATGAATACATCAGTGCAGAAATACAATACTAAGATGAACCTGAAATACACAAATCTAAGGTTTTTGGAACATCTATTTAACTGACTCTATGAACTCCCAGCAAATAATAGCCAGTTAATATAAAAAACTGAGCCCAGTGGTGGCACACACCTTTAATCCCAAGTCTTGGGAGGCAGAGGTAGGTGGATCCCTGAGTTTAAGGGCAGCCTGATCTACACACACACACACATACACACAGTAAATTTTCTATTACATTTGCTATCAGAGCATTATGTTCTGTGACATTACTTTGTTACTGAAAAAATTAGCTTATGCAGTAGTTTATGTAAGATAATCCTTAACTTTTACTCATTTTTGTGAGTACTATTAAATATTTTATAGGTTGAAAATCTTTAGATACTTTCCCTCAAGTTGATGCACACTCTCCCTAAACATCTCTATTATTTTCTTAAAAGAACAGCAACAACAACAACAAAAAAAACAATGATGTCATTCCATTTGGGTTGCTCATTAAGTTTTAAAGGCATCCTCCACCTATTCAGCCTGGATCGTTGCTTCTTTGTGCAAAGCAGGGAATATGTATGATAATATTTATGCAGCATTCATGGCATGATAAGCTCACTAATAAGTAAGATCTAATGGATCTTTTCAAATATTTTGGGACTCTCCTGCAGTGTATGTGGCTCATGTGTGCTTCTTTTCAGTTGAAGGTATAGAGCTTGGAGGAATCCTTAGCCTTTGTCAAGGTGACACAATCAACAAGCCACGTGGCTCAGATTCTAACCTAGACACTGATTGCCCAGCTTGAGCTTTATCCACTCTAAATACAAGGGATTCAATTTGTCTGTAGGCATTCAGGGAGAGAAGACCTCACGTGTCTCTAAGTTCATGGGGAAATTACTGATCTAGCATCATTAACCTCCAATCTCAATTACAGAGTTTTGATGAAAAAACTAGAAAATGGATTTTCAATCACTCAGTAATAATTGTTAAAAAGAAAAGAGGAAGAGGGGAGTCTTCAAATATATGACCTAGTTAGTAGAAAGAGGCATATTTAACCCACCATTAAACTAATTCAAAAATGAAAACTATTCAAGACCTACACGAAGTTTGGATTAGACCATACCATTGTGCTGTAGTAGCTCGGTTGCTGGGAAACAAGGCCAGTGACTTTTTATAGTACTTCATGTTATAAGGGAATTGTTTGAAATACAAGAGGCAACACTGATTCCTGCCTCTCAAATGATTTCCTGGAGAAAAATCCTAGTCACCAGTCATGAAAATCTAAATGGTTGTGTTAGAAGCGACTGCTGGTCCAGTTGCTTGCTCTTTACAGCCCCACAGGTAATCCTAAGGATGGGACATTTTCACAGATGTCTAGAAGCTTACCTTGTCACCTCCTTTTAAAAAACTAGTCTTTTATTTTGTCTTTCTCAATTCTAGAGGAAAAGTTGTTTGTAAATATGCATGGTATCAATACATATATATGATTCCAAAAATGACCCAGCCTAAGCTTTAAGCACTGGAATTCAGTTTCCCTTTGGGTGGAATACTAAATGACATTTTATTGAACAGAGAGGGATGGTGAAAATTTTGATTAAATATGAGAGCAAACATCACAGAGGCAGAAACTGTAACTAACCAGACTCTCGAGTTGTGAATTTCACTACATTACTGAATTGATTGCCATTTCCGACTTTGGTGAATGCAGACACACTGATCGAGTAGGTACTGACAGGCTGCAGTCCAACAAGTTTGGCATCAGTCTGAAAGCCTGAAATATTCTGAAAAGCAAAGGATCCTTCATTACAAGGCATCTTCAAATATTTGTTTGTAACTACCAGATATATTAGAGTACAATGATAAATTCTTCTTATACTTAACAAGGAGTTGATGAATATTAATAACTAAAACAATTATTAACATATTGTCTTTCATGGCATGCTGACATCTTATGATACAACGATGAAATGCATACTATTATGGTCTTGAAGAATCTCATAATTTTGGTTTTTGAACCTGCTTTTTTAGAATCATGTGTTTATTAATTTCCTTTCAATTTGCTAAATGAAAGTTTTGAATTTAAGTTTATGTCTGGGTATTAGTAATCATTTCTTCCAAATTCACATTCACCTCCTTCCTAACATCTGACATATCTACATATGTTTACTTCTCTATCAGCTGCTGCATTACAGCCAGTGGAAAGAAAGACACAGGTGAAAGAAAATATCTGTCTCTTTGGAACTTAAGTTGGAGATTCCAAACAATTCCTAAATTTCTATTTTGACAACTGTTTCAGGAAAATGTGGAAGAAAACTAAAAACGGTATGATAGTTGACCAGAGAAAATATAAACTATACTGACTGTTTATTGTATATTTCTCTAGTGGAAACTTTCCAAGAACATTATTCTACTCATGTATTTAGGAGGAGAGCCATGGTGTTTCTGTGGAGATCAAGGGACAACTTGCTTGCAAGAGTCCATTTTTTCCTTTCACCATGTGGTTCTGGGGATTGGACTCAGGTGTTCAAGCTTAGTGGCAAGAACCTTTACTAGCTCAGCCATTGTGCCATCCAAAGATGGTTAAGTGTTGAGATACCTACATGGATAATAACACTAGATCACATTTTAAAATCATCCCCATGAAAAGCAGGTGTATTTAGGAATAGATACGTATAGTATATAATATACACATAGGGCATGCAATAATATTTAATGAGAAAAGAGTTCATAAACATGGAAGAGAATAGAGGGATATATGGTAAGGTTTGCAGGAGGGAAGAAATGTTGTAATTATAATCTCAAATTTGTTTTTTTTATATAATCTCTAGGAAGTCACTAACAGATATGGGGCCTTGTTTTACCACCTCTTTCTTATTACACACTTACTAGTTACAAACCATATTGATAGATGATCCGTGGATTGTAAGAACATGGTCTCCATCAGCAAGAAATCTTTATACTAGCTATTAAAATCCACAAAATGTGTTGCTAAAAAATTTAAGCACAATAAAAATTCATTTTGCTTTTGAGCCAGAAGAATGAGTGACCAGGGAAACAACTGAACTTCAGACTTTAATCACCCACTTTAATAAATTAGTTTATTGGCTGTTGAATGTATTTATACAAATGCAAGTCTTTCAAAAGCTTTCTACTAAATAAATGGCTTCTTACAGCAATCAGAGTGACCCAAATTTCTAAGTAATGCCAAGGTCCCAGTGTGGGCTGATGAGGAGGCAGTGACATCTGGAGAGGCTCTAAAGCTATTCTTGCTCCACAAAGTTGCAGGTAATTGAGAATAGAAAAAGAATAAAACAACAGGAAAAGAATTCAAAAGAATCCCAGCAGGGAAAGTTGAAAAGGACAGTAGCAGTGAAAGCCAGGTAAAGGGAAAACAGCCAACATGGTAAACTAAATATTTAGAGGTGGGGTGACATGAGAAGAGATTTAAAGAAAAATGTAATCATTAAAATGAATTGAAAATAATAGCAAATAATCAAATGCAGTAGATTTTCAAAAAGAAAATTAATTGCTCTAAAATTATATACATAACATTTTGTGGCATAAAAATGTATGTTTGGTACCAGTGAAATATTAATGGAAGACACATAAGAGAAAAAATAATGTTTAAAAATATTAAAATCATATTCAGGTAACAGTATAATGTTCTTCCATACTCAAGGCTACAATGATACTAGAGGGAATTTTTGTTCTTTTCTGATCTGTGTGCAAATGAACGCTAATGCATTTATTAAATGCCTGGAATTGTCCAAGATGTTTTATATGGATTTACCCTTACAATCTACATTAACATATGAAGCTTTTTAATTCTTATTTTATGTTTGAAGGAAATAATCTTAAGAGGATAAGTAACTTCTATAAAGCATCACTGTAAATCTCAATGGAAAGATTTGAACCATGTAATTTGATGTCAGTGCCTTTGCTTTACTACTCTGTTAAGAGTGTTTATAGTAAAGATCACCATTCTATGGAAATTAGGTCATATATATGCATGCACACTCCAATGCACATACAAGGTAATCTTAAGGATGGGATTACTCCAAGAAAAATATTTCTCTCCTGTGAATATTTTCTGTAGCCCATGCAGACAATCCAAAAATATGAGTAAACAGTGAGTTTAAACTTTGGATAGATAATAAAGGGCTAGACACTTGTGTCATTAATACAAGTTTTACAGTTCTGGGAACTGTTCCACATTTAGGAAGTTAGATAATGCAAATTCTGCTCAACCTATCAGATATTAAAATAATATATTAACTTCCAGGAAAGAAGACATTGTTCATGATGACAATAACAAACAAACAAAGCCATAATTGTTGCTCTCTGGTTTCTACTATTGTCTTTGTAAGCTGCACATCCTAGAAAATGGGCTTATCATAGAAATTACAATATTGAATATTTACTCTGTATTTTGCACTCTTCTTGCAAGTAAAAATAGCCCAGGACTTCATTTGTCATTTTAAAAAATAGAGATAACTTTCCTAAGTAAATAATTGTAAATAAGTTAAGTAAATCATTAGCTAATTGAAACACACTTTGGCAATCAAATGCTAGAAATCATGCACCTAAGTTTCAGATATATTGGTCTATCAGTTCTTTGAATATTTTCACTGATCCTATGTCCTAAATAATTGAAGAAGGAAGAGAGACTAAAGATTGCCAATGAATTACCACTAAAGTCACTGAATAAGAATTTGTCATAAAAGACCAGGAGGGAAGCATCACATGCCATCAGGAAAGAGTACCACAAGACAAATGTAAACATTTTGTAAAAAGGTTAAAAAGGTTCATTTGATGATTACCTTTTTATTTTTAAAGCAATCTTAGTTTACATACCAATCCCTGTTCCCTCTGCCTCCAGTCCTCTTATTCTCCCTACAATCCCCCCCCCAATCCATTCCTCAGAGAGGGTGAGGCCTCCCATGCAGGAATATCAAAGTCTGTCACATCATTTGGTGTAGGACCAAGGCCCTCCCACCTGTATCTAAGCTGAGCAAGGTATCCCTCCTTAGGGAATGGGTCCCAAAAAGTCAGTTCATGCAATAGGGATAAATACTGGTCTCACTGCCAGTGGCGTCATAGACTGTCAATAAAAAGAACTATAGTATATATTAGATTTTAAATGTACAGTATACAAAGTATTGTATATTTCCTAGCATTGATTAAATGATGCAGCTAGTTCTTCAAATGTAGAAACTGGGAGAATAGCTAAAATGTCCTAAGAAGTCTTCGGTTTTCATATCTGAAACCTGGTTTCCTATATTTCCCACAAACATCCCATATTTCAGAAAATTGGCTTTAAGTAAATATTACCATTGTTCAATTAATTATTGTGGTACTTGGAATCAAATTCAGAGCTTTGCACATAAGAGGAAAATATACTACTACTGGGCTATTTCTCCACCCCTCCCCTTGTTTAATATGAACATAGCACATTTTCCCTAGCTCAAAATGTTTTACTTCAGTTTCTGAGTGTCTGAAATAAATATATTCTGTTATAATCAACCTACCTTATAAAATACAGAATCAGTGTCATGCTCATGAATTTTAAAACTATATACTTTAACAATACCGCCTGGAAGAGGACTTGGGCTCCATGTCAGCCATACAAAATCTGAAGTGTAGTTGATTAAAGTCAAGTTCTGGGGAGGTGCTAAAGGCACTGCAGGGAAACACATTATAAAACTTGTGTTCATAAAACATGCAGCACAGCAGTTCTATCTTGATTCTAGCTTCTTGAAGAAATGAATTCAGAGAGATTTATAAAATTAGCACATGTTGTAATTCTAGAAACAAATGACATAGATAATTTTGCTCTCATGTTTACAGCCCTATGCATCAAAACAGTTTTAAACAGAACAGGTAATTCTGAAGCCTGAACTGGGGGGGGGGGGAGACAAGAAAAGAGATCAGCAAAGTCAATAAAAAGAACTATAGTATATATTAGATTTTAAATGTACAGTATACAAAGTATTGTATATTTCCTAGCATTGATTAAATGATGCAGCTAGATAGTAAAGTTGACTACAAACAGAACCTAATGTTTTTCATTATACAGGCTGTTTCTTCCAAGCAGAGAGTGCTAGCTAAATAGAGAAGTCAATTGATGCAGCTTATCTTCCAGCTTACCTGACTCATCTGTGTAAAAGAAAAGAATACTGGAAGGACCGAGTCCTTTCCTGGTTCTTGCAGCAGCAAAAAAACTATATAGGGTAAACGGCGAGAGTTCTTCCAGTACTATGTGGTTATGAGAAGTGACAAAAGAGTGGTTTGCCTGTGGTCCTTGCAAAGTTAAATGGTAGCTTAATATTACACCGTTTGGTTTTAAAGGGGGATCCCATGATAAGAGAACTGAGGTAGAAGAAAGGTTTTTAAAAGTGTTGATGATTGGTGGAGATTCTGGAACTATAAAAGAAAAAGAGAAGGTCAAATGACATAACAAATTTGCATTAGTAGAGACTTCAAATATAACTGGGCATAATTTTATGAGTAGACTGTTTTCATTTTAAGTCACTTAGGATTTACTATGTCTATTGAAAAGACTTTACTTGATAACATAATTATAAATATTGCCATTAGTAAAAAACGACAAAGAGGAAAGACATTAATAATCTGCATAATAAGCAACAACAGGGTCTCGCCTACCATCTTCTTCGGTCTTGATATGTAGCCAGGCGGTATAGGTCTCAGAGAATCCCTTCTCTGTCGATGGTATAATTTTAAATATATAGTCAGTATATATTTCCAGATTATCAAAATACACGCTGTTTTCATATGTAATCAGAGGTGGTCTCATGCCGTGAGGGTGCTGCTGTGAATTCAGTGAAACATAGTAAAAGACAAGGCCATTGGGTTGAGATGGTGGCGTCCAGCTCACATTTACTGCAGTTGATGAAATGGACTCAAAAGTCAGGTTTCCAACAAGCCCTTCCGGTACTGAGGTAGGTAGTGATCAGAAAATAAAGTCCATTAGTTACCCCAGAAGTAACAATTTACAAATTGAAGGTAATTATTCAAACACAGTCACTAGCTCATACACATGCATTATTTAAATACATATGCATATTCCTATGAGTATGAACATTATTCAAAATAACTCTTATCATTCTTAACACATGGAAGAATTGTGTTTCTATCATATTCTTCTGACTTTCTTACCATGTGGGGATTACCATTACACGTGTTTATATACAACATGTATTTCTAAAAGAGCCAATAGTTTACTAATTATCCAAATAATACATTTGATTTCTTTATTCCAACTATTATATGAATCTGCAGAGAACGATGCTCAGAGGGACTCTATGCTTATCTAATCCCAGTAACGAGATATCTCCAGCAAACAAAACACTAACCTGCATTTGCAGTTTAAGAGATTATTCCACTTTTAAAATTTTAATTTTCAGATATCAACCAGATAGATTCAATGTAAATTTGAAAGTCTCACGGGACACAATGCACAGCAAATGGTTATTGCTTATAGTGGTGCAATTATAGTTGACAAACTGTTATGAGTTGTAATTATCTTGAAAGAGCTCTACAATTAAAGAGTGTCTGAAATGATATTGAATACATTATGCTAGAACGTTTTACTAAACATGCACCAACTATATATTTTCATATGTTGACTATATTCTGTGGGTGAACCTGTCCACTACTCAAGTTATTTTTTCCTAAAACAAGGCAAAGTTTTTCATGTTTATATTGGTAAATTAATGATTTTTTTCAAACAGTGAACATTGGGATTTAACTCAGTAAAACTTTAAGTCAAAGTCATTTCTCAATAGGATAGTAATCTTTTAAAAATACACAAATAGTGGAGCTGGAGAGATGGCTCAGCAGTTAAGAGCACTTGCTGCTCTTCCAGAAGACCTGGATTGGGTTCCTAGAACCTACATAATGGCTCACAAGCTTCTGCAACTCAGTTGTGAGGCAGGGGAGTTCCTTGTCTTTTTCTGACCTCCAAGGGAACTCCAATCACCTGATACACTGACATACATACAGGCAAAACATACCCATACACATAAAAAATAAATTCTTAATATTAAACAAAGTAGAAACAAAAGCCATGTGGGATCCACCTTCCATTTCATTCTGGAAACTAAACTGAAACAAACAAAAATTTAAAATCAAGGGTTCAGTCATCATAGTTGTGTGAATATTCATCATGAACAACATTCTGAAGAAGCTGTATACAAGAAAATTTTTACATGAAAATAGACATTTTTATTATGTTTACCACAAAGACAATTTTTAAAAGTGCTTCATGAAGTCCTGTGTGGATTCAAAGGCCCAAAGGAAAGTTAGCTGCTGGGGACTCCAAAGCAAGTTCTGAAACAAATGAGCAGCTGTCTTAACTATGACAAAGATTGTGCAGGCTTGTAGGAGTACTCTTCCCTGTCCATCCCAGATGACTGTGACATCTCTCAAAGAAACAGAAACAAAAGGATTTTAATGGATGGATGGTAAGAAAGCATGTGTTGAACCTGTCCATTATTCAAAAGTTGTTTTTACCGTGGACAAGCAAAGTATTATTTTGTCATGTTTTTAAGTGGTCAATTTATGATTTTTTTCAGTCTACCAGGATCAAATGTTGACATGAAGTATGATAGCAGAAACTATGGTACTTCTTATATGAGAGCCTGCAACAGAACAGACTGGTGAAATGAGATTTAGTAGGCATTAGAAATGAAGTCATAGGAAGAACACCCGAGTTTCAGGAGTTTATGAAGAACCCTCAAGGGGAGAACCCTCAGCTGCTTCACAACATAGTATTAAGATAAAAACAACCAACCCTGCAAAAACAATACTATACAGGAAAAATAGAAGGATCTGTCACAGTTGTAATAGTCAGAGATACATTTAAACTCTTAGGACAAGTAGTTAAATATTTCTAACAGATTTTAATATCAATGTACACACATAGAGAGACATTCCTGACATAATTATAAGATTTGTAAATTTTCCAACTAAAGATAAAGATACATGTTCATTTACATACTGTCTTGGTCTGTGTATACATGAATTATGTCACTGCTTTTATTCCCATTTCCAACTGAAGTACTTGCTGTTAACCAGAATGTATAGTAGCTGAATATTGCCAGTCTGTATATTTTTGCTGACATGGTCACATTGTCAGGCTCATTGGTTACTTCCAGGTATGTAAAATTCTGAAAAAAAAGAAGCACATTGCTGTAATAGTTCAGAGTATATTTTAGTTGTCACAGATATTGTAAAATAGTGACCAGGGACTGTCTGCTGTTGTTTTAATATTTTAATTCTTAAGAGAAACAGCATAAAGTAATGTTATAAAAATTAAACTGGAATTACATTTGTACTAAAAGTGGAGTAGTTGGTAGCAGTTTTTCTTATCAGATCAATACATAAAATATTAAAGAGAAAAGCACTGACGCTTTACACAGTAGAAAATGTCAAATGGGCAAAGGGAAAACTCCATGCTAGCCAAGCTCAGTTTCCCTTAGGAAACTTCTATGTATTTTTCACAGCGTTCGATATTTTCCAACAGATTTGAAGAAAATTAAAATGGCTTTCCATTTTCTTTTTTTCCATGAATAATAACGGAAGTGTGGGAGTATTTTCCTTATCTACAAACTCAAACCATTTCTATTATTCATTACCAGTGACTCTTCAGTATACTGTTGTAGGGAACAAAGAAAAGGCATTCAATATACTCTTATACAGAGGAAAATAAAATTCAATATTTCCTCAGTACATAAGGAATGTGTGCCACAATTTCCTTTCTGGGCAAAATTTAAAATAAAGCATATAACCAAACAAAAAATTCTAAAATAAAGGGATATTATCTAGGCAAAACAACAAAGTTAGCCAAGAGTGTTGCATCAGTAATTTCAACACCTGGAAGACTTGAGTCAAGGGGATCCCTGGTTCAAGGTCAGTCTGCACTACACAGTGACATTCAGGGATAGTGGATGGACCCTGTCTCAACAAAAGTGTGTCAGTAGCAATACTTTTATAAGAAAATAAAGTTAATTAAGCCAGGTGTTGGTGGCACACGCCTTTAATCCCAGCACTTGGGAAGCAGAGGCAGGTGGTTCTCTGTGAGTTTGAGACCAGCCTGGTCTACAAGAGCTAGTTCCAGGACAGCCTCTAAAGCCACAGAGAAACCCTGTCTTGAAAAACCAAAAAAAAAAAAAAAGAAAGAAAAGAAAGTTAAATTACTTTAACTCTTACTTAAACTCAAGTACCACAGCGCAAGGGTGAACCAAAATCTAATCTCAACGGTTATTGGCCCTTAAAATAAAATAGGAATAGCTGTTCCCACTTTATAGGAAGCTACTGAGAATTAGACTCCAATGACAACACAAACCAATTAATACTGTGCTTATTCACAATAAAGGAATAATTTGCTTTATTAATGTAGGATACTCCATTTAAGTTTGTAGTTAAAAAGATGATTCTAAAATATATTGACTTAAAAATTCACTAAGTTTTTGTGGTTCTTTTGACATTATCTGTCAGTAAAATAAAAGATTTGCTTTGATTTTGTGATATCTTGTTTGAGAATAGACAAGTTTAAAGCCATGTAACAATATCTCAGAAACAAGCCTGACAGTGGTGGCACATGCCTTTAATCCCAGTATTTGGGAGGCAGAGGCAGGTGGATCTCTGTGAGTTGAAGACCAGTATAGTCTACAACACCTAGTTCCAGGACAGCCTCCAAAAGCCACAGAGAAACTCTGTCTCAAAAAACAAAAAACAAAGCAAAACAAAAAACCCAATATCTCATAAAATGTGATATATGAGCTTGGATGCTTTCCAATGCACCTGTGCACATCAAATAACAGGCAAATAGAACTACAACTAAAAGGTATTAATTATTGGAAGGTTACTAGAATGAATTTTTAGTTTTTCTTTGGAATGGAATTCATTTTGATTATCTATGAACATCACAAATAAACAATGGGTTATTTTGAATCACCCAAAATTCATTCTTGTTGGCTGTATGACTTAGCATGCCTATACATGAAACAAATTCATAACATCTTAGACACTATCCAAGTGATCATTTCATTGATTTCTTCACCTCATATTTCTAATTTTTGTCTCACAATGTCGTTGGGCTCAAATTGTCTAATTAAACCTCACTCTTCACTCATGTAAATATTCCCAGGAGGTACCCTACAAATGCTTTCAAATTTGATTACCAAGCAAACTGATTTTATAACTTATAATTTATATGGCATTCTGTCAGACATGTTAAGAAGACATGACACATACTAGTAGAAACTGAGTAATATAAGAGTAGTTTCCTCTACTAAAAACAACAGGTGATAACTGAATAAAGGTGGGCCATTGAGCAGTAGCAAAGAGCTTAAACTCCTCAAGAAAAAATGGAAATATGTCTTCAGTTCATGCCCAAATGCTTCTAAATCACAGCTAAGTGCTGAAAATCTTGCTCTGTGGTAATAATTTTACATTACTTCAATTAAAATATTTGTTGATCATTAAACCTATTCATGAAAATGTTCCAGGAATATAGAGGGAATATAAATGTCCTATGCCCCATTTTTTCAATATGTTAGCTATAAAAGAAGGATCCTAGACATGGACCAGATGTCTGTAATAGGAGGTAAATAAAGCATGCTAAGTATGGGGGTGTCCACAAACTTCATTACAAATATTCCTTCTACCAACTTAAAAAAAAGACATAGAAGATATGCTACTTTGAACATGAATTTTAGGAGCACATTAAAGCCTGAGTGAATGTCAGGCAACATGAGACTGTACTTCTGAAATGTTTTAGAATCATTAGCCTGTGCCCTCTTGCAGCTGTCACACTTAAAAGCATTCTTAAGATTACTCACTAGGAGATAACCTGTTCTAAAACTGATGAGTTGAAAATGGGATCATATTACATATGCAGGTCTGAATATATAGGCTTAGATGATTGCGCTGAAACCAAAGGTAGATTTTCCAAACCTAGATGCAGTTTTAGACAAAGAGGATCAAAGTGTAATTCTGCACAAACTACAAGCATTTTGGAGAGAAGTGAAACTATTGCTAAGACCTCAAACTATACAAACAATTTTGTGATGCTTCTTTTAAATACATAAAAAGGAAAATCTTCATGTTGAACATCTTTTATGGCATAATGAAATAATGAAAAGTCTATGAGTGACTCTGTGGTAAGAAATAAGTGTCTACCTTCTTTTCTGTTTTCAAAAAGGGACAGAATATCTGATTGATGTATAGAGGAAGAAAAACAGACCTTTCTTATATAGAGGCAGGTGGATCTTTGTGAGTTTGAGGCCAACATGGTGTACAGAGTGAGTTCCAGGGCTACACAGAGTAACCCTGTCTCAAAAATCAAACAAAAAATTTTCCTTGTTCTTAATGCATTTGTTTAAAATCTTTACCTATAATTACACATACATCTATATTTATATACCTTTTATGAAGCAGTCTTCTTATAGGACCTGAAGTTACACAACTCCAATCTGGACATTGTGTTCTGCTGCCTTTGCTTGAGATGGTTTGCCAAGCTCGGCCCTTATCCTTTGAACTCAGCAAGCCACACTACCACCTAGTCCTACAGACAGCCAATCATAAGTCCTGACTCTAACATAAGTGTCCTGAGTAACAAATGGAACTCAGTCACTCCAAAGAACAGATTATTTGCCTTCTCTTTTAATTAGAAAGACACCCAGAAATAGGTATTGCCAAGTCACAATCAATTCCAGTCATTTCACCCAGTAAAAATCTTATTCTTAAAATTACAGTATTTCTTTTAAATTTGTATTTCCCAGATCATATCCTAACTCCCCTGTCTTTGATTGAACCATACCACCATAATTTTCTCCTTTTATATATTAGAAATCTGATAAATACTTAATTTGGAGGGAATAATATAACTGTGCTGGATAAAATTGAAAACATTTCTCTAAATTAAATTCATCTTGGCATTTTCATTACTACCATATTCATATCCCAGATAATTCCCCTCTGCAAACTACAGTTCCACAGCCTACATTCTGCATAATAATAACTCTATGTATACTGGTCCTTTTTATAAATGATGCTAAGCAGTAATAACGTCATTGTAACTATAAAAACTCTCTTCCCAATATAAAAAATATTACAATTGAGAAAAAAATACTACACTATAAGTATTTGGCCTTAAACCCACAGATAAGTGTAGTCCTTGGCCCTCATCACTGAAACTTCTCTTTCAACATAGACTATAAAAGAAAATCACAACAAATAAAAATGCAGAGTTGTGGAGGCCAGTCCCAAAGGACACATCCACAAAAGGCAGTGAAGACTCTAAGAGCTAAAGTATTATAAGAGTTTACTATGAGAGTCTTTTAGTAATGTCAGACAGAACACACCACAAAGTCTCATCCACATGACTTCCTAAATGTGAGCTGAACACGGACAACATCAATGGACAGACCAAAGTCGATGGGAAAGTCTTTGAGGCCTCAACCCTACACAAAGAACTACCGGCAACTGAATAGTGCTGAAAGTGGGAGAACTAGTCTTCTCCAGGGAAGGACACAGTAGTTATCTAAAACCAAATAGTTCTGAAAATATATGTATGAGTAACATTTTACAGACTGAGCACATTGTATTTATGCATTTAGGAATATATATAGATGTGTATGTAACAACAATTAGTGGAAAACAGAGGTTATGAATTTGAACAACAGCAAGCAGAGGCATTTGGGAGGCTTTGGAGGGAAGAAAGGAAAGGAGGAAACGATGTAATTATATCCTGATTTCAAAAACTAATAGAAAAAATTAAACATATGCAAGAATGTTTAACCACTGAAACTGTGTTGTATACAAATAAAATTAAAACATGTTTTCAGCCAAGAAGTAAATGAGATCATATTGTTTAAGGAGAAAACAGAATTAACTTTATGTGGTTCCAGCTTCAGTGTTGTAAAAATGTATAAAGCTGATAGGGAAAGAGAGGAGGGAGAGAGAAAGACAGATAGACAGAATATATAATATATATATATATATATATATAAGAAAGAATCTTATTTTAGATATCAAACCCAGTTTCCTCTCCCTCCCATCCTGCTATACTCCCCAATGAACCTCCCATTGCATCCCCCATCCACTCCCCAGGGAGGGTGAGGCCTTCCATGAGAGATCCCTAAAATTTGTCAAGGCTTTTGGGGCTGGGCCTAGGCCCAAGACTAAATGGCAGCCCAAAGAATAGAAAAAGATCTTTACCAACCCCACATCAGACAGAGGGCTGATTTCCAAAATACACAAAGAACTCAAGAAGCTAGTCACCAAAACACCAAATAATTCAACTAAAAAGTGGGGTACAGAAATAAACAGAGAATTCTCAATAGAGGAATCTAAAATGGCTGACAGACACTTAAGAAAGTGTTCAAATTCCTTAGCCATCAGGGAAATGCAAATCAAAATGACTCTGAGATGTCATCTTACTCCTGTCTGAATGGCTAAAATCAAGAACACCAATGACAGTTTATGCAGGAGAAAATGTGGAGAAAGGGGAACACTTCTCCATTGCTAGTAGGAGTGCAAACTCATACAGCCACTTTGGAAATCAGTATGGCTGTTTCGCTGGAAAGTGGGAACCAGTCTACATCAAGATCCAGCAATTCCACTCCTAGGCATATACCCAAAAGAAGCACATTCCTACAACAAGGATATCTGTTCAACTATGTTCATAGCAGCATTATTTGTAATAGCCAGAACCTGGAAGCAACCTAGATGCCCCTCAACCAAAATGAATGGAGAAAATGTGGTGCATTTATGCAATGGAGTACTACTCAGAGGAAAAAAAATAACAATGGAATCTTGAAATTTACAGGCAAATGGATGGAACTAGAAGAAACCATCCTAAGGGAGGTAACTCAGTCACAGAAAGACAAACATGGTATGTACTCACTTATATATGGATTCTAGACATAGTGAAAAGGATTACCAGCCTACAATCCACACCTCCAGAGAAGCTAGGAAACAGGGGGGACCATAAGAGAGACATACATGCCCCCCCGCAGTGAAGCAGAAAGGGACAAGAGCCCCTGAACAAATGGGGAGTATAGGGAGAGGAGAACATGAGGGATCAGGAAAATTGAGTTGGGTGAGGAATAGAGAACAAGAAAAGAGATCAATAGAGGGAGCAACTATAGGTTTAAAGAGAAATCTGGCACTAGGGAATTATACAGAGATCCAAAAGGATGACCCCAACTATGACCCTAAGCAATAGTGGAGAGGCTACCTTTAATCCCAATTCTCTATAATGAGAATGATGACTACCTTAAATGCCATCCTAGAGCCTTCATCCAGTAGCTGATGGAAGCAGAAGCAGAGATCCACAGCCAAACACTGAGCCAAACTCTTGGAATCCATTTTCAGAGAGGGAGGAATGATGAACAAAGGGGTCAAGACCATGCTGGGAAAACCCACAGAAACACCTGACCTGAGCAAGTGGGAACTCATGGACCCAAGTCTGACAGCTGGGGAACCAACATAGGACCAAACCAGGCCCTCTGAACGTGGGTGTCAGTTAGGAGCACTGGGCAGTTTATAGGTTCCACTCTGGCAGTGGAACCAGGATGTATCCATAGTGCATGAAGGGACTTTGGGAGACCATTTCTCATGGAGGGATACTCTCTTAGCCTAGAGTACCCAACTTTTATCCACCACTATTTTATACATCAACGAAAATTTTTTATTATATATGTATATATATGCCCAATTATCAATATTAATAACCCATGATATCAACAATATTAAGGACATAAAAAAGTAATATTCATCTCTTACCTGCACAAAAGTCCCTGAAGTATTTTGGTAATAAACAGAATAATATTGTATGATTCCATTAGGTTTTGCAGGAGGTGTCCAAAAGAGAATTATTGATGAAGAACTGAGATTCACATAATGGACATCTTTGGGAGCATCAGTGGGTGCTATAAAATAAGCAATTCAGAAGCCTGCAGTCATGGCTATGAGTTAAGCTTAAGTGTGTAAATTTTGCAACAATTGATAAATTAAAATGGGAATAATCATTTTTGAAATATCTTAAATTAGGAATAGTATCTTTGTAAATATCAGAAATGAAATTTGTACTATGCACCAGGCTTTTCTTCTACTCTTTTATCATATGTTATCTACAGAGGGGGCTTTCTTACTCATATAATACAATCCTGGCTCTAAAAGTTTGCCACTGCTCTCAATCTGCAGACCACATCCCTGCAATTTCTAGTACAAAGTACATGAATATGAAATCCTCTTTTAATGTACAGTTTTGAAATAATAAAAGAAAACAGAAAGTCAACCTCACATAGTTTATTTTACTACATTTAGTCTACAGATAAAATGTTGGTCATGTGTTAAGTCACATGATCTTACTTCTTTATTCCTTGTCAGAATCCTGTAATGTTATGCACTGTTTCAAACGGGATATGGAAACATAGATAGATTACTTAGATTTCCCAACATCACACAGATAGGAAGTAGATGCAATTTTACATCTGGCTAATGATGGCTATTAAGCTTAATAACACATTTTGATACTTGATATTTTTTGAACTAAGTAGTCTTCAAATGAATTGAGATTCCTGAGAACTCACCTCCTTCTGGTGTTCGAAAGTTAATGATACTGCTTCTTGTTTTCCCATTGCCAAATCTGGTGCTAGCTGTGACATAGGCACTGTAGTCAACATTATAGTCTAAGTCTGGCAACTCTAGTGATGTTTCAGTTACATTTATAGCTTTTAGTGATGATTTATCCCTAAGAGAACAGAGGAAAAGTAAAAAGGACATTCAGATTAAATGCCACCACATACATTTGAGAATTACTACATCAAAAATACGCAGCACCCATGTACAGTAATCTATTGGCTTAACCTGATAATGATGCCACTTATTCTGAAATGTCAAAAATAGTAAACTTCAGAATACTTCAGTAAAATAACATCAGTAGCTTTCAAGTATATTTAGTAATCCAATCAAGTCTTAAGGGTTTATAATTACAATTGGCTTACATCGATTTTAGTAGATCTTGGGATAGGGCAACTTCATTGGCTTGAGACACACTTAGGAAAAGCACAACTTTGAATATGTCTGAAAGCATGTCTTCAGAGAGGACTAACTATTGGGGAAAGATATCATGATAGTGAATGACATCATCCCAGAGGTTGAGGGTCAGGGTCCAATAAACTGAAGAAAAGAATAGCTCCCCGGGTGTTGGTGAGGCGTGCCTTTAATCCCTGCACTCAGGAGGCAGAGGCTGGTGGATCTCTGTGAGTTCAAGGCCAGCCTGGTCTGCAGAGCAAGTGCCAGGATAGACTCCAAAGCTACACAGAGAAACCCTGTCTCAAAATACAAAAAAAAAAAAAAAAGAAAGAAAAGAAAAAAGAAGAAAGAAAAGAAAATAGCTAGTGGAAACATGATGTGGCTCTCTTCTTCCTGGCAGCCATGCACCATGACTGAAACTTCTGAAACTGTGAGCTGGAAGTCTAATAATAATAATAATAATAATAATAATAATAATAATAATATAATAATATATGTTTCTTAATTTGTTCTGCTCACTGAGGTATTTATGTCATGTTTACTTATGTGTATTCATGTGTGCCTGTCTGTGTGTCTGAACATGTAAGTGATGAGTATTGTGGAGACCAGAGGGATCAGATCTGCTGGAGTTGGAGTTACAGGTAGTTTTGAGTTGCCCAAGATGGGTGCTGGGAACTAACTCTAGTTCTGTGCAATAACAGTGCACTCACTTAACCCTTTAGCGAACTTCCCTGCCCCCTTGAGTAAGTATTTTGTCACTGTAGCAGAAGGCCAAACCAGACATCTAAAACTACTGTGTATTCAGTTACTTTAGCACACTTTGCACACCAATGTTTTAGTTGCTCACATATTTTGTTCTTTCTAATGTTGGCAAGATCGTATTTATGTTATTATTTTCTCAGATAACCATCTGTCACATGTTGTGTAAGAGTGAGTTTTACTTCTAAGCCAATCCAAATAAATAGTTGGACAACACTGAGCAATACAGAATGTTATTGTCTTTTGTATGTTTTGAGGCCGTGTCTTGTGTAGCTTAGACATACTTTGAAATCATGATGTCTTTGAACTCCTGATGCCCCTACCTCCCCAGCCCAAGTACTAAAAAAGGAGTTTTATAGTTATTTATTTATTTAATGGAAATGTCATTAAATAAAGCAAAGTATATAATTTACAAAAAAAAGGAGAAAAAAGAAACAGCACTTGTTATTTAATTAAAATCTTTAAGGTATTTAAAATCATAGACTCTGACAAGGAAATAAACTAACCAAATAGTGACTCAGAACTCTCCAAGTAAGTATGGAAATATTAGGATGAATAAACAATTTTAAAAAGAATGAAAATGATGCAATAGTATAGTGTAATGATAAATCTTTCCGCCAAGCCACCCAAGCTCCATGTCAGAAGTGGGATGCGAACCCAGGCCTCCATTAGGGACCAGTATAGCAAACAAATTATTTTATTTCAGTCACATTAACTCAGTTACCAAAGGTTTGAACTGAGTACTAATTAGTATTTAAACCCAGAAATAAACACTTAAGTGGTTGTTCTAAAATATTCATTGAAAAAGAAATGTGCATTTTTAAGAACAACAAAAATAATGAAGAATTTATATAAGAGAATAGAGTAATATCACATAAAAAGATGTCTTGTGTAGGCTCATAGCTTTCTTCTTTATAAACAGAAGGGCCTCAAGAAGTATATAGATTTTCCCTCTGAATAGAAAATGTTCCTTCTTTAGCAATGGTAGGAATCTTTACATTTTAAGGGAAAAATAGATTCTGTTTGAACTAATGGTATCCACGGAGATATATCTCAGTCTGCCTTTGCTATCATAGTAGCATCAATTTAATACAAGTGTAAGCACTGGTACCTGAAAAATAACTGAATAACTTATGCTAGCTAGAAAAAAATATGGGCTCAGAGTGTGTGAATGGAAACAAACAGTATCCATTAGACACTCTCTTTCAGAAGCAGTGTTATGGTGTTTTGAGAAATTAGGTAGAAAATAAATGAACATAAATAAATTCACAGAGCTCACAATTTCCTTTGAGTGGTTTATCATGAAACTGAGAGCAAAGAGGAAGTAAAGAGGAGAGGGAAGTGGACTGTTACTGAGGATCAGCCTGTTTTCCTGACTCTGAGTAACTTCTAATAGGTCATGAGTGGCACAGAAATCTCCGGACCACATGTAACATCTTTTTCTCCAAGGAGCTATCAGTGAACAGATCTGTAACCTGTGTTTCCCAAACACAGATGCTAATTTAGAGATGATTATATGAAATGAACATTCAAGAGAAGTTTCCCAGGCTTACTTAGCATTCACCTTGTATGAGGCATTATGGTAGACATCAATATAATAAGAAACAGATTTTATCCTCAAATTAGAGAGAAAGCAGAAATGTAAAACATTTCATTTAAAAAAATGCCATTTCTCTAAGGACAGTAAAATAACCTTTTCCCCACCAACACTAAAAGAAAAATGTAAAGTGATAAATAATTAAAATAATTATTTAATTATTATCACATTTTAAATTTTAGTTATTTCAATATTTTAATATATTCAATGCATTTGATTGTTAAAATATTTTATTATCTTAGAGCTATTTGATTGTTTGAATATTTTAAATGTATTTAAGAGATATTAAAGCCAGAGATGCAGGAAATTATTCACTTGAAAAATTGCTGCACATTCTTAAAAGACAAACATGGTATGTACTCACTCATTTGTGGATTTTAGACATAGAGTAAAGTATTTCCAGCCTAAAATCCACACTGACAGAGAAGCTAGTAAACAAGGAGGACCCTAAGAGAGACAAACATGGTTCCCTGGAAAGGAGAAAGGGACAAGATCCCCTGAGCAAATTGAAAGCACGGGAAGAGGGGGAGGGAGCTGGGGGGGTGGGGACTAGGAGAATGAGAAGGGGAGAAGAGGAGAGGTGAGAAAGACATGATGGGACAGTGAGGTTGAGTTGAGGGAAGAATAGAAAGGAGTGTGAAAAAAGATAATATAAAGAGGGAGGCATTATAGGTTTAAAGAGAAATGTCTGGAAAGCTACAAAAATGACCCCCAAATAACAATCTAAGCAACAGAGCAGAGGCTACCTTAAATGCTCTCCCCTGATAATGAGATTGATGACTGACTTATATGCCATCCTATGGCCTTCAACCAGCAGCTGGTGGAAGTGTATATAGCCTTCACCCAACAGCTGGTGGAAGTAGAAGCAGACACCCACAGCAAAACCTTGAAGTGAACTGGAATCCAGTTGCAGAGAAGGAGGAGTGATGAGCAAAGGGGTCCATACCAGGCTGGTGAAACCCACAGAAACAGCTGACCTGAACAAGGGAGAGCTCTTGGTCCACAGACTGATAGCTGGGAAACCAGCATGGGACTGATCCAGACCCCCTGAATGTGGGTGTCAGTGAGGAGACCTTGGAAATCTATGGGGCACCTTGTAGTGGATCAGTACTTATCCCTAGCATAGGAATGGACTTTGGGAGCCTATCCCACATGGAGGGATACCCGCTGAGCCTAAACACAAGGGTGTGGGCCTAGGCCCTATCCCAAAGGATGTGACAGACTCTGAAGACACCCTACGGAAGGCCTCACCCTCCCTGGGGAGCAGAAAGGGTATGGGATAGGTAGGGTGTTAGTTGGGGAGGGCAGAAGAGGAGGGGAAGGAGAGGGAACTTGGATTGACATGTGAAATTATCTTTCTAATTCAAACAAAAAATTATTTTTTAAAAAAATGCTATACATTTTATGAGTAGAACCAGGAGTTGAGGGGAATATGGAAGGGGGAAGACTAGAAAGGCATGTCTAATCCTTATATATCCAAAGCAACGAGCACATCACAGTTAAAGAGTATGAATGTTACTCAATACTGAGTCCCTAAAATAGACAAATTTATATCATTGAGTTTTAATACTGTGAAAAATGTAAATGTGATCATTTGTAATTGTTTTACTAAATTTAATCTAAGCTTGGCAGAATATTTTAAAATCTTTTTTGATCTTGTATCTCAAAAATAAGCCATGTTGTTTTCACGCATGACCTATTTGAAGAAAATCTTGAATTGGTATTTGTAAGTCTTAGAGATAAAGTTATTTCCTATTTTTACATGTAAATTATCTGAGTGAATTGTGGTACCTAAGCCAAAAGCTAATTCTAGAGCAGTAGTTTTCAACCTTCCTAATGCTACAATCCATTACTATAGAACTCATGTTGTGGTGACCCCAACTATAAAATTATTTCATTGTTACTTCATAACTGCAACTTTGTTAGTATTATGAATTATAATGTAAATGTATAATATGCAGGATAGCTGATATATAACCCCTGTGAAAGAATAATTTGACCCCAAAGGGGTCACTACCCACAGGTTGAGAACCACTGTTCTAATACATGAGACCAATTCCTCTTATTTACTAATTTCATATTTCTTGGAACATCCAAGTCCCATTGGAATTAAAGAAAACAAGCAAACAAACATCTGTAGTACCAAAATTACATGACAAGACCTAAACAAATTTCCCCATTTCTTTAACTATGGAAAGGCATACTTTCCTGGTCAAGGTTGAGAGTTAATAAAAGGTGGCAATCTTAATTCTCATCTACATCATTTTATATTTTATTTCATGTGTGCCATCCTAGCTCAATGCTTGTTTTTCTGAATATGTTTTCTAAACTATTTCTATTATTTAAATATTCTACACTCA